CATTCCTGAAGCCTGGATAAAAGGTGCTTTGGGAGCTGTGGAGACCTTGATTCTCTCATCATTATTAGGGTGGTCTCTCGTGTCCCAGGTGCTCACGGGGTGTGATTCATCTGGTGTTCTACCAGTAGCCTTTGTTCACTGGCTTTACTTTCTTTTTTCTTTTTTTTCTTGTATTTTATTTTTTTTAACATCTTTATTGGAGTATAATTGCTTTACAATGGTGTGTTAGTTTCTGCTTTATAACAAAGTGAATCAGTTATACATATACATGTGTTCTCGTATCTCTTCCCTCTTGCATCTCCCTTCCCCCCACCCTCCCTATCCCACCCCTCTAGGTGGTCACAGAGCACCAAGCTGATCTCCCTGTGCTATGCGGCTGCTTCCCACTAGCTAACTACCTTACATTTGGTAGTGTATATGTGTCCATGCCTCTCTCTGGCTTTGTCACTGGCTTTACTTTCATTTCAGGGAAATATCAAGCAGCAGACGAAGAAAAAATTAATCCAGCTCCTTACTTAACTTGCGACAGCTTCCCTCATGCCGTGGACCACATTCTGCAGCATCTACTGTGAACCATTATGTGAATCAGAAGCAACTTGAAACGCAGCTTTTCATTGTCTGGAAAGAATCCCTCAACAACTTAATGCCACTTAATGACAGGCAGAGACCACTCAGCCCCGTCACCATTTAACCCTCTTTTATTGGGCAGTAATTAGAAAGAAAGGTATTGAATTGCAGCCAGACACAAAGCCTGGCTAATCCCTTTTGTTTTTTTTTTCCGTAAAAGAAGATGAGATCCAAAGAAAGGGAAAGCTGAGATTTTGTGCCATTCCTTTTAAAATATTCATCAGGTTAGTGGCACTGGGGAAGAGTCTCCTGCAGGGAGCCTGTTCTCTGCTGTCTCCTCGCTGGTAAATTGGAGGGGTTCAGACTCTGAATAAAGTTGAATGGTGTTTTTTAAGTTATAAAGTACTGCATTGAAAAGTGCATTAGGCTGTAGTTTTAATATTGAGTTCAACTGTGAAATCCATCAGAAGTGCCAAGTAGGGTACAGGACAGAAGAAGCAGAATAAAGTGTCCTTTAGCCCAAGTGAAGGAGTGAATTTGCTTTAACAGATGTTGAAAACTAGATTAGCTACAGTATTATTCGCAGCATGGGTGACTTCTTTTTCTCTTCGTTAGCCAGAGATGAGTAATTTAAATTTAGAACCTGGTTTTAATTTAAAATAATATTTCCATTAATAACCTATTCATTGCAGATACCTATTATACTGTGTAACAGTTGTTTTGGAAATTTTATGTAAAAACTATCAGTATTTTACAGATGTTTTAATTAGACATTGTTATTAACAGGAACAGTGCAGAAACTAAAATCAAGGCTTTAATGTCTTATAGACCATGCATTTTTGAGGCTAGTGTCCACCCGGGTCCTATTAACTGTACATTTGCAAGATTTCATTATTTTTGCCTCTGACACTATGGGGAAAATCTTTCAGAAGCTATTGGGACAGATTCAAGCACTTATATACTTGGTTACTACGGCTGTAAAATGAAATCTCGTCTTGCAGCACGGATTCTTCTTCTCATGTTAAACCCACCAAAATGAAGGGGACTAAATAGGTAGTGATTTTCTTAGTGCATTTGCATACTGTGATGATCCTGGGCCTTTGCAGTTGTTTTACTGGGCTCTTGGGCACTGGATTATTAGCTTGTAATTGTCCATTATCATGGTGCTCACCTTATTGAAGCACACAGCAGTGTTAATGAGCTTTGGGTTTTGATGCTTGTTTAGAGATCAGCTTGGTCTTGGATGGGAGGGAGCAAAGCTAAATAAATGGCCGCTTCCTCTCCTTCTGGTCGTTTGGTGAACACTTTTCTTGTTTTTGCTGATGCCCCAACCTATCCTTACGATCCTAGAGTGCAGAAGACAGATGTGCTAGGGCACAACCCCAGATCAGGAGGAGGAGTGCAGTGACTGACTGGGGCACAGAGCAGGGAGCCTGGCCAGCACTTCCCTTCAGTGACCTGGGGCAACTCCCCTAGCCACTCCTGCCTCCTTTGCCTTCTCTGTAAAGTGGAGATACCCCACCACGTAGGCTTGTTGTGAGGGTTAAATGCACAACCCGTATATCAAGGACTTTAAATAGAATCGGACGAATGTTAAGTGTTGCCTGTTTGCGATGATGACACAGATGTAGCAGGAGTATCTGCATTTAACAATCCGGAAAAGGTTGGTAGAATTCATCTCCACAGTCAGTTCAGTGGGGAAAGTCTTCCTGAGAATTTAAAAAAGAGAGACATTCTGCTACATTTAAATTCCTTCAGGCCGGAGCCACACAGAAAAGCCCAGCGTGCAGGCAAGAGGGCCTGCTGGGCGTGTACACCGTGCAGGCAAGAGGGCCTGCTGGGCGTGTACACCAGTGGCCTGTTCCCCGGCACCTGGGCCACTGATTCCTTAGCCCAGGCGTTATCAAGGGTTTGCTAGCTGCTGTGTGCGAAGTGCCTGCTAGGAAATAAACATTTAAGAGAAGGATTTTGCCTGGAGGGTCCTTACTAGGTGAGGATCTAAGGAGAATACCCAAGGCAGTGTGCAGACTCTGTGTCTCCCTTCTCTGTGACGTGGCCCTGACCACAGGATGGAGCGAAGTGTTCCCTCCTTCGTGCCATGGAGCAGTTGTTAGATTATACTTAGGTCTTCAAATGTCTCTTCTCCCCACCATACAGGACTCTGTCTGTGCTACAACACAGATGGGCACTCAGGCCGTCACCAGACAACTCAAAATTAGCTGTAAATATTATAGGAATTGAATGCTAGAGGGTATAGCTGTGGGTAGGGAGGAGAAAATGTTTCATTTTAGACTTTGCTGCTCATAGGGGAGGCCCGTTAGGCCCTTAAATAATGGCTCTGATGCTCTGGAGACATGTTAGAGCTAAAGCCAAGCTGTAGACATCACTGATGGGTGAGTGGCAGGAGGGGGTAGTCCAGCTGCGTGTAACAAGCCAGCCAAGAGAAACGGCTGCTCTACTTTCCTCCATTCTCGCTTGGACCTCTAGGCCATTAAAATCTTAGTTGGCTATTTTATTTACTTAATAAACATTATATAGGACTTTCTAACTGACCTGTCCACGGTATGAAGTTTGTGAGGATAAATAGAAATCTTGGTTTAGGTCGAGGTTACTGTAAACATTCCCAGCTCAGCTGGTTGGTTTGCCTTGGGCTTCACGGAGGAGACTGAATAACCGAAGTACGTAAAGGACTTTATTTTCCAGCCATTACATTTCAGGGGCTGTCTTGTGGTACTGACCCCAAGGATAGTGTTTGTGCCAGCTTTACTATAATCCTGTCCTGGCCCCAGAAAAGGGACCAAGTGACATCTTAGGACTTGAAAGGGCATTAGAGAATGCCCATTGTCAGGAGGCGGTTATTGGGCATCTGTGAGCTGGGCGTGGAGGAGGGCGAAGGACCAGGCTGGTGGGGAGACAAGGTTGTTGCACCCACTTCAGTCTCACACGTCCAGAATCAGCCAGTTCTGCAGTGGCTCTACCTACCCACCACTCTACCTGAGCGGAGTGGATTGTAATGCCTGGAAAGGAGAAGGGGGCTGGCCCACCTCCCTAGGGACGGTTCCATCAAACACCTGCGGTTGTGGGTATCAGAAACTGCCCTGGAGTGACAGTGTTGTCACCTCACTCTTAACCCCACACTGAAAAATTACAGGAGCGAGTTGGTTAGGAAAGTCAAAACACACCTGCACTATGTTGTTGGTTTTGGATCAGTGGTGGTTCACGTTGGATGAAACTGAAGTCCTTGGGCACCTATAATAAAGAATTTTTAAAACTACACTGATCTGTTTCATTAAAACACTTGCCTTGGGCAGCAGAGTACTTTCGTCCTGTTAGCAGTTGTTTGCATAGAGCCATGTTTGCGTTATTGAGTTTCTTTGACATAAGTCAAAAAGGCCTTTCCCGGCGTAAATGCACAGGGCCTTTGCTGACTTTGTGTTACACCAGCCATCAAGACCTACTACCCAAAGCATGCTGCTGTCCTTGAGAGGCGAGGTGCCAGAGCACCAGAAATCGTTTATCATAATTCAAACCGCATCTGTTAAGATGAAACAGATTTTGATATCTTTTTCCTGTGTTTAATGTCATACACATCTCAATGCCCGTTTGTTTCATTGGCTGATGTGCCTGAGAAAACCAAATATTTATTTTAAATTATGTATTTATCTTTGGCTGTGTTGGGTCTTCGTTGCTGCACACGGGCTTTCTCTAGTTGCGGCGAGCGGGGGCTACTCTTCGTTTTGGTGCGTGGGCTTCTCATTGCAGTGGCTCCGCTTGTCGCAGAGCACAGGCTTTAGACACACGGGCTTCAGTAGCTGTGGTGCACGGGCTCAGTAGTTGTGGCTCACGGGCTTAGTTGCTCCACGGCATGTGGGATCTTCCCAGATCAGGGCTTGAACCTGTGTCCCCTGCATTGGCAGGCAGATTCTTAACCACTGTGCCACCAGGGAAGTCTCCCAAATATTTTTAAATGCCCTTGGGAGTAAATCACTCAGGAAGACAGCAGAACATAGCTCCAACTCCTAGATATGTATGTTCTAGTTGGGAAATTGAGCTATCTTCAGCTAGTTCTGGCCTCTCCACTTCACCACAGTCCCCCCCCCTTCCTTGTCTTCCTTTACCCATGTGTAACTATATTCCAAGTTCCTATAGCATTTGAGTTATGACCTCTGCTTTAGAAGAAAATACCACATGTGGAATTAGGTTCAAATTTCCACCAACAACTAACGGGCCAATCTCCTATATCCCTATAAACTTAGATATACTTTTAGTCTACTTTTAAAAAAATAACCAGAGACTCTAAACAGTAGATTAGTCACGTATTAGTTGATCTCTCTCAAAGCCCCACTAAAAGAAGAGGAAAGGAATAAAGATGTTATAAAGCAACAAGGACAACCCACAAGAGAATGGTAGAGGAGACAGCAGCAGATGACAGGGTTCAGTAATTCGGGAGATGGAAAGAGGATGGCGGAGTGTTGATAACTAAAATCAACCCAAAGAAAAAAGCCAAAATTCATCCTGTAGATCATCACCTCAAAGACTCAAGGCTTGGAGACACTGGGTAGAGTGGTCGTGAGGTGTGAGGCAAGGTTGAGAAGCAAGGAATTGGTTCAAAGCTGGGAAAGTGGCTGGAGCCCCAGAAACCCTCCCCACCCTGAGCAGCCAGATACGCACCCTCAGCCAGGCAGGAGAGGGGGGGCAGTTTACACTCTGGAGAAGTGGACTATGAACGTTCAGGCCTTGGAGACACTGGACACGGTGGTGGGCCAGGCTGAGAGGCAGGGCTGAGAACGGGATTAGGGAAACCTGCTTGTTCTACAGCCATTGTCTGGCCCCCTTCCCCTTACAACCAGGACCAGAGAGCGTGGGGATGGAGTTGAAAGTTAATCTGATATGTTTGGCCATTTAGAAGACAATACTGATGGATATCAGACAGATATGAAAATGTTGCCCCCAAAATTAAGAATAAATACTTAGAAAATTAAGCAAATGAAAAAAACGAGGCAGTTATTAATTCCAAGAAAGACAAAACTCAACAAGAAAGGAAATGTAATCCTAATCCACTAGTTGGCTCTTCATTAAACAATGTACAGTGAACAATATCATAAAAATACTGATTATTGAGTTAACCTAAAACTGTAGTAAAACTGTTTGGGGATGATTAGGGAAA